AATAAACATGACTTGGTGTGGCTTTTTTTCAGGAGTGGCTTTTTTCTTGCCACCCTTCCATACAGGCCAGATTTATGGATCGCTTGTGATATTGTTGTCACATGCACAAAATGACCAGTCTTTGCCATAAAGGCCTGTAGCTCGTTCAAAGTTGCCATTGGCCTCTTGGTAGGCTCTCTGATCAGTCTACTTGCTCAGTCATCCAGTTTGGAGGGATGGCCTGATCTAGGCAAGGTCTGGGTGGTGCCATATGCCTTCCACTTCTTAATGATGGTCTTGACTGTGCTCTAGGGGAAAGCCTTTAAAATCTTTTCATACCCATCACCTGACTTTCCACACATTTATCTCAAAGTTCTTTTGAAAGCACCTTTCTGCCCATAGTGGATTCTTTGCTTTGAAATGCACTTCCAAGCAGCGGAATCCTCTAGAAATAGCTGCTTTTATTGTGAACTAATCAAAATCACCACAATTGATCACAGGTGGGAGCCAATTAGTTTGTTGTGTGATGTGTAAGGTGATTGGTTATACCTGGGTAAGTTTACAAATGCAATTGTAAGGGAGTGTTCACTTATCCGAATAAGGCATTTCACTGTTGTAATATTATTTTTTTTTTAAATTAAACACATTAGTGTCTTGGAATTTTATTTTCACTTGGCTAATGTGGGGTACTGTGTGTAAATAAAAACGATCTTAATTTAATTCATTTTTATTTTCAGAGTGTCATACAACCAAGGGTGCAAATTTTGAAAGGGGGTGGTGACTTTCTATACCCACTGTAGGCTACCCCTGCATATACAGTAATTTAGCCAGGACACTGGGGTTAACACCTCTACACATTTGAAAAGGACAATGAGATATGTATTACCAAGTCAGGACTTTGAATTAATGTCTAAGTTAATTAAGTTCATACTGTCAATGCTTTTCCTTAGAGGTGGTATAACTATAGGAAAACTGCCTATAAGAAATCTGAAGTACAACATAAAAGGCCCAAGGTCTTAAAGTCAGTAGCACACACATTTTGTGTTATTTATTTTAACATAAGTCAACCTCAGCATTTACATCCCTCCTGTCAATATGGAAATGCAGAGGAATACTGCTTGACAGTTGAATTCATGCTTGCTTTTTTGCGTAGTTGAATTGCTTTTAAAAGCTCTCATGTAAGTGCTTATTTTTAATGCATTTAATTGAATGTCATACAAATAACATAGAAGGTAGGAGTATTGGGTTAGTTGTAATATGTCAATGCTTCAGATATGGGCTTTGTGTTTGGCATATAAAAACATAATATATGACTCAGAATTAACTGTTAACATTTTATGCAGCACAAAAAGTCCAAGAAATATATTGCTTTGAAATGGGCATTTTATGTTGCTTGTGAAAGATTTGAATGGCATTTCTGTGGGGTGGTCTTGTGTATTTGTGTGAACTTTTGCGTTAAGGGTTAGTTTAGATTGTTGGGTACATTCTACACGCTTAGTTGATTTTTGTATTAGTCACAATAGTTTAGTATGGGTGAGTGCCTTTTGTCTTGTATGGTTTTGTGTAGTCAGTGAAGGTAAGCTAGGGTGTTTGAAGACGCCGAAGACCATGTGTTTTGGGTTTTCTTTTGTAGTTAGGTCAGCTTTCCCTCGCTTTCTTAGCCAGCTCCATTTTATTTGTTAATTTCTTTTCTTTGGCACCACTCTAGTTCCCTTACCCTGTGTGTTATTGTGTCTTATTACATACCAGTCACTTATTCACCTTAAAATAATCACTTTTGCACCAACCCTTGTTGTCATGCTTCCTAAGTTCCTCCCCAGAACCCACCTGCATCCAAAAATTGTCCTAAATGTTACTCCTTTACCCCTAGACACTTGGGCTCATAACAGGTGGGGATGAAGTGTGCAAACTGAAAAATTCTACACAGATAGCACCCAAATCCCCAGCTCTGTGAAGCAGCAATGATAATTGCACCACCATTCCACCCACCCGTTGTATTAATTCCTTTTTAATAAATTCTAAGTAATGATTTTTATTAGCTTTATCTTATATTACTGATATGTGTTTCATCTGGGATGGTTGGACTAAGAATTAATTGACTTTATTTTGTGTTTATGTACATTCCAAGAGCAAAAATAAAAATAACTTTAAAAACTCCAGTATACTATATTTTTGTACTAAAAAGCAAGGGCTTGCTCCTTCTTTTTTAACATTTGCCATCTAGTTCATCTGTGTACATCGTGTATTCTGATAGTAATGAAAATACCTAATGTTGAAAAATAAAAGTAACACCAAACAGAGAAAACCACTAAACAGGGGGTATATTACTTTGCAGGACTAATTTTATCTGCTCAGTTATATCAAGTGGCCATCTCTGGATGTTGTCATGTTTAATTACAGTTGTCAGTCTCATGTGGTAGTGTTAATATTTTACCTAGTCATGCATACTTTTGAATAGTAAGATTCCTGTGAATGACACAAAGCCGCCCGAGGTGGAAACGTTTTTATGCTTTTGGAATTTGCTTACATTTTATGCCTTTAGAATTTGCCTGTCTAAATGTCTCAACCTATTATTTTTACCGATCATCATTGGACATTGGTGTCAGTATAACTTTATTTACATGTTCATTTATTTCAGCATCTTCTTGATTGCAATAAATTGTGTGACAGGCTACATACTAACTCGCTCAAGATAATGAGTGAGTTATTATTAGCCAGCAGCCAGATCACCCTGCAACTCACAACTGGCAACCCACTGAAGCTAAGCAGGTGTGAGCCTGGTCAGTACCTGGATGTGAGACCTCCTGGGAAAAACTAGGGTTGCTGCTGGAAGAGGTGTTAGTGGGGCCAGCAGGGGGCGCTCACCCTGCGGTTCATGTGGGTCCTAATGGCCCAGTATAGTGATGGGGACGCTATACCGTAAAACAGGCACTGTCCTGATGGTAAAACCGAGGTCCTGACTCTCTGTGGTCATTAAAATCCCAGGTTGTTTCTCGAAAAGAGCGTCCTGGCCAAATTTCCTATTGGCCCTTACCAATCATAATAATCCCCCTCTATGAATTGGTTTCATTACTCTGCTCTCCTGTGGTGAGTATTCTGGCGCACTATGGCTGCCGTTGCATCATCCAGGTGGATGCTGCTGTCACGCCCTCTGCAGCCAGAGGACGCTCCTTCTCTGTCCTGTCCCTAGTTTTCGGTCTGCTGTCCTTCCGGTCCCTCTCTTTCCCTTGGGCTATATATTTCCGGGTCTTGCACTCTGTCCTCGCTCAGCATTGACGTTCAGATGTCCTGAGACCCGCCTAGCACCAGGGCGCCCCACGTCCACTCCCTGAGGGCATAAGTTTCTATACGGCATTCCTGAACTCTTTGCACTAATGAGCCCGGGCCTTTTTCCCGTCTCGCCGCTACGCATATGGGTCTTTTTGCGCTCTCCTGCTCCCCACGGTTAGTCCCTTTGGACGTCCGTGACAGCTGCACATTGGTGGTGGTGGAGGGGAGTACCCATTACCTGTAAAGCGCTTTGAGTGGAGTGTCCAGAAAAGCTCTATATAAGTGTAAGCAATTATTATTATTAATGACACTCAGCAACATAATGAAATAGAACGCATGGCTTAATGCAAGCAATATTAGCAGTAATCTTGAGGATCCAGGTATGATACTGAAAAATGAAAGGCTAAACAATGTAGACCAATGTAGACCACATACTGTATGTAAGCCAGAAGAAACAAGTTAGTCCTCCCCTTTCTTTTGGAACTTCTTCAATCAGGATTATTAGATAGCTCCCAGCCTTTAACTTGTATCTTATTTCTGCTGAATATAGTTGTGAGAAGACCCTATTGAAATCTAAAAGCATGTTGTATTTATGGGAAGTGATATACAGTGCTTGGCCCCAACCCCCTAGTAATCAATGGTGTCTTAATAAATATCTGTTGCTTAAACATCCCTCAGATATCAAGTCCCATTAAACTTTTAGGGAAAAATTGTCTTTGAAGTAGGTAGAGGCATGTGTTTAGAGTTCTTGATTTCCATGATCTTAATTTGTGTGTTTTTTGGTTTAGTGCACCTCAGGAATGCACAACTCCTTAATTTAGGATCCTACTAGATTGCCCTTTAACATTCTTGGACACGACCAGCGAGTGAGACTATTCTGTATCGTGCATGTTCCCAGTTTCTCACTGAGATGAGTACCACTTCTTGTTCTCTTGTATGGTGTTATTAATTTGTTTGATTTATGAGTTTATATAAAATAAATCTTACTGTGTTGCACCTGTTGCTTGCTGGGATTGGCTCTGTCTGCTCTGCAAACCCTGTATTGGATAAAGCTGTTAGAAAATGAATGGATGGATAAAATAAATCTCTACAGTGTGCTTGTCTTGACTTTGTCTGCAATGTATAACATTTGAAATAAAGCCAATGAAACCTTAAAATAAGATTTGTTGTGCACAAAAATGAACTAAATTCAATGCAAGGAATATATAAAATGTAATTTTTAAAACTACGAAAAATCAATAAAAATAGAAGTATACTGAAACAAATCAGTCTGCAATTAATATTTGGAAAAAAATCCTTTACAGTATGGAATAAACTGATTTTAATGTTCCTTATGAGACTTTATAAGGCATTTACAAAGCTTATTGAGAATAAAAGGACCATAGCCAACTGCACTGTACAGATATGCCAGTGGGCACATTACTCATTCTTTTTCCACACTGTTCACAATCCACTACTAACAGCAGTGATCCTTCCCCATTTTACAAGACATTGATAAACATTAGCAACAATATAGTTTAAAAATCTTTTATAGCTATAAGCTATAGACATTACAACATGATTATGCGAAAATGTTTTTATTTTAATTGATTTTGATTCACACTATGTTAACTGCCTGTGTTTAAATTGTTTGTTTTGGATTTAGCACAAGACTTATGGGTTCTAATTGATTTTTATTATTTAAAGAATATTTCATGATCAAAAAGTGTTTAAGCAAGCTAACGTTTTGGTTCTCTGTTTTTGTCTTCTAGGTTTCATATATACTTGTGGTGGGACTTTAAAAGGAAAGAATGGTACCATAGAAAGCCCTGGTTTTCCATACGGATATCCGAATGGTGCAAATTGTACATGGGTAATCGTAGCAGAAGAGGGGAACAGAATACAGATTGTTTTTCAGTCGTTTGCCGTAGAGGAGGAATACGACTTTTTATCTTTATATGACGGGCATCCTCATCCTGCAAACTTCAGGACAAGGCAAGTATGAATGTCACAGAAGCTATTTTTTGCTTTATACAGTATATTGTATAAGAGACTGTGTATTGAACAAATTGGGTCTTTTTTCCATTCACTACTGATGGTATGTGAAAATAATTAATTTAATACAGGTTGGCACATTAAAAAAAAAAGAAAAAGGCAAACTCTACATCACTGTTTGACAGAAGTTATGATGATGGCCTGATTAGCTTGTAACTAAATTAAAACCAGTTCTCTGCATTTTTTCATTACCGTGTCCACATGCTTTATGTAATGTAGAATTCAGTCCACTGGAATGTATACTGTAGCTAAATTGAAATGAGAAGATTATTTACACTATTTACATTTTCTGAAAGTTACACAGAAACCCTACAAAGTGACTAAGTATACAATATTTTTTTCTTAGAGAGTATATAATCCTATTCCAATTCCTTTGGTGCTGTTTGAAAATATTTTTCATTTTAAATGCTGGCTTAAAATATGTAATAATGCATATAATTGTTCCCTGGAACAATGGGAGGAATTGAATTGTGAATGGATTTTTTTTTCTCCAAAAAGCAAGTTTTGTGTGCATAACTGCCTTCACTACCATGCTTTTGTTGTGCCCCAAAGAAGCCAGCCTTTAGGGAGCAAAAGTCTAGTTCAGTTTCTTTCATGCTTGTCTAATTCCAGATGTCTATGAGTGAGTATAACAAAGGTGTCAATTGTGATGTAAAACATGGTCCATCTGCATAATGTGAAATAATAAAAATGTTTGGGATCTTTTAGGGACACAAGAGCAGCCCTTTCTACCTAAAACACTGGTTGAAATTATCGTAAAAACAGTAGTTAGCACTATACTTTTGTAGGTACAATTTACCTTTGCGCAGGATCAATACAAAAGGAAATTCTCGTTTATCCCTTATCTGTTCTTCAGAACGGGGCACTCTATAGAACTGGAGATATTAAAATGATGCAGTTTTACATAATCAACACAGGAAGAAAACAAGTGTAACACAGTGCCAGACAGACATCAGCTTTACTTTAACCAAATGTTCAGTTTACCAAAGACAGACAGATGGACGGAAACAGAAAATCTCTAGGTTTCAAGTTGCACGCAGGCCAACACAGTATCCAGGAATAACGTGGCTCTAATCAGTATACTTTGAAATCTGATTTCTTGTAAAGTTGACAGAAGTCCAGCGTTAACCCCTTTGCTAATAGCAGAAGAAGTTAAATTACTGTTCTCTGCTGCCCATAATAAAACTGCATTATTGGACCTAAGGAATGAAAGTGGAGTGCTAATGTGATTCGTAGGATTCAGTAGATATGAAGAAACTTGATTTTAAGTAAATATAAATTATTTATGTAGTTCCAACAAGTATGGTAATGCACATTACATCATCACATCTAATGTGGAGTATTCACTCTGTCCAATGCGTGTATAAGATTCTGGAACTACTGTATATTATGTATATTATGGCAGTTCTTAAAGTCAGGTAAACAATATATTTTAATTAATAATGTTGCCAGCGAAATAGAGTAGAGGAGCATTCAGTAATACATATTTTTATTAGGTAAATTATCAAAGTCGTTTACAAATTAATGATGGTGACGGTTTAAAGGTACAGTACAGATTTTATTGATGATACTTATAAATGTCTATTTTTTCTCAGGTTCTTTCAAAATCCATTCTTGGATTTTATAATTAATCACTGAATGCCTTCTCTGTATCCCAAAGGCATGCTGTTTAATTTATTTTTTTTAAACTGTGTACTGGTCAAGTTTACATACAGAATCTTCCCTACCAAGGTGCTGTAGGCATTTAATTTACTTATTGGCAGATAGTGATTTATAACTAATTCCATTTAAGGATAGGATGCACATGGATTTCCTGTGTCTTTATCGACAGATTTGGTCTCTTGTCTGTCATCCTTGGTGTTGCTTCTTTATTTAAATCGCGTGGCTATTATACAGCAAGGCAACAGGGCTATTTTATGGAATTAAGATGGAATGGAATTAATAACATGGACCTTCTGTTGAGACGAAACATCTTTTTGCATAAATCTTTGATACATCTTTAATTCTATAACAAGTTCTTGTAGTCAAACTTACATCTTCTAATAAAAACCCATAAACAAAAGTGACTTTCTTGAGGATCCAAGGTTAAACCATCTCTTCCAACCTTATCCATAATAGAATTTAGTGAAAAGTAGATTGTCAATGTTTTACTGATAAAATCTTTTTACAACAAAAGCTATTTTTTGAAGAACTGCTGCAATTCAAAGATTGCAAGAGTCCTAGCCTGAAGTACCCTGTCTTTGATTACTGTGAATTTTGATGAATGACTGAAATGGGTGAGAGATTGGGTGAAATGGGTGAGTCTAACAAAAAGCTGCAATAAAAAGCTTTATTGAAATCTGTAGCGGCCAGTGTGCAATTATTGCAGATTCATTCCTGTCACTACAGCTTTTTAATTTGGGGTTCTTTGATAGTCCTTGGGAAAACTGAAAAAGACAAACTGAAAATTAAGTTATGAACAATTTTAAAACTGAAATCTAGAAAATCTAAAATATAGAAAGTATTAGGTGTGTGTTTTAAGACTGATTTCCATAGAGTTAAATAGTTCAGGACATGATTGTTAGTTTTTTGTACAACATTATTATTTCTTAACCAAAAGTCAATAGTATAATGTTGTAGTATTGTATCAAATTCCGTTTTTCAGTTTGTATTTCATCATGCTAGGATTGCAGTCTTTCAGCACCGCTTATCATTCCCGACCACTACTCTATTAAAAGAAATAATGCCCATGAGGCTTCTGATGAAGATGAAGGTGGCTAATCTGAGGTTTCCACTTGCCCTCACTTTCATGTGTAATGTGTATAGGTTTCTGAAGCATTTACTTCAGCATTTGTTATGCTATGCAGTGACTTACAAAAGTATTCATCCCCTTCCATTTTTAAATCAGAACTTGAATGCACAAATTAAACCTCTATGAGCGAAATAATTGTAAATATGCAAAAGCTGCAAAGAAAAAAAAAATCTTGTTTGCTTAGGTATTCAGCCTACTGAGTCAGTACTTGAGTGGAAGCACATTTGTCAGCAAATATAGCCACAGATCTTTTTGAATACGTCTCTACCAACTTTGTACGGAGGGAAGTTTTGGTTTTGCATATTCCTTCTTTGCAAACTTGTGCAAGCTCCGTCAGATTAGTTAGGGATCATTAATGGGAAGCAATTTTCAAGCTTTGTCACCAATTAAATTATATTCAAGTTGAGAATTTGACTGGGCCAATCAGAGATATTAGATTTTTCTTTCCCTTTCAGCATGGGATAAACCCTTACCTGTTCCCTTGCAAAGATATTCACTTTCTTAATTTTAACCCACTCCAGTGTAGCTTTGGCCTTGTGTTTTGGATCATAGTACTAGTGAGTTTTCACCCCAATTTTGTCTTTAGCAGCCTGATCCTGGTTTTCCTCTAAGGTTTGTCTTTATCGTGCTCCATTCATTTTTCTCCCATTTTGATAAAATTCCCAGTCTGGTACTTAGAGGCAGCCATCTATCTTTATACTGCCACCACCATGCTTGACAGTAGGGGTGATATAGATAGGGCGTTATGCCATGCTGGGTTTGAACCAAATGTAGAACTTTGCATTTAGACAAAACATATTTACCTGAAAATGTGCAAGTATGGAGTTGTATCAGCATGCGTTTACTACAAAGGAGCAAGTACAGGTTAATTTAATGCTGAGAAGTAAAAAAACAAGAGATTTTCACACTAATGAAGCTTATAACTAGTAAAATGATATTGTGTATAGTTTTGTTCACCATGTTACAGAAATTTTATTGCTGCTCTAGATTCAGTCTGGAGAGAAACACCCAGCTACGTTCTGGAGCTTAAGGGAAGGTCTTACATGGACGTGCTGAAGCAGCTCAACCCTTTTTGTCTTGAACAGAGAAGTCTGTATCAGGTCCCCTCATACGTTTTCAAAATCCTCAAAGGGATTGACAAAGTCAATCCAGCAGATTTCTTCAAAATGAACAGTGAATATAGGGCACAAGTGGAAAACATTGTGGAAGTGCATTTAAAACCGAGGACAGGATGTACTTCCTTAACCAGAGAGTTGCAGGAGAATGGATGGAACGAGTTACCCAGCCATGTTTGAAGCCCATACAGTACCTTGGTATCTTTCACAAAATGGCTGGATCAGATCCATTGATCAATTAACTACTCCTGACATAAAATGGGCTGGATGGGTCGAATGACAACTTCTCATGGGTAACCTTTATGTTGTTCTTACAGTATGTTTAAGCCTCCTTCAGGTGTGAGGGAGAGAAAGGAAGTAGAAGAGATATAAAGCAGGTGGCAGAGCAGAGCAGGTGATAATGGGCACAGAGCTGGTGAGAAAGGTGTGAAAGAGGGGAAGAGGCGTGAAAAGCTGAAATATGTAAATGAATTGATAGGTTTTTAAAAGAAATTAGCCTGTCATTTAGAAAAATATCATTATTAAATATGTAAAAATAAAGATAGACTTTTATTTGTTCCTGTCCAGATTTGCCAAATAAGAAGCCTGTTTTACATATTAATTATCCATTGAACAATTTAGGTCAGGTACTAAATGTTTTCTGCCATTAAGCATTGAACAACTTCACAGTGTTTTATAAATTGAACTGTTGCAGCATAATATCAAAATATCTAATTCTATTTCTGATTATCAAGAGAAGACTTATTTTGGTAACAAAGCCTTTTGTCACCTGGAATCTGTGCAGAACTACTTTTGAGTCAAGATTTATTTGTATCACATTTCAATGTACTGTACTTAATTTATTCTCAGTCTATACTTACTAATACTAATAGTAGTGGTATTAATAAAGGTAATTTTTGTTGTATCCCTGAGAGATGGAAAGTATTTGAGTAAAACATATTTCAATTCATTGCATAATCAGTTTAAAACAATATCTGACACCTGTTGAAATATGTGGGACTTATTTTTAACTTCTTCCCAATGTACTAATTCAA